GGCGACAAGAGAGAGACCCCAAGGTACAGGCTTGCAGGCTTGCCCCTCATTCGTTCGGGGGGGCGGGGGGTGAATCACGGGCTGATGATAATTGGTCCTGCCAGCTGCACCAGGCGGACGTGGCGCTGGCGGTCCTGCCGACCAAGGAGAGGCAGGTCATTCTGGAGGGCCTTCAACTGACCTCGCTGCCGTGGTCTCTCATTGAATCGCCCTCCAGTGCGACCACTTCGTCGTCTTCGTCGTCGTCACTGCGCTCGCGGTCCCTCTCCTCGCTCCTCTCGTCGCTCGACCCGAGCTCGTCGGCCACCCTGATCACTTCGCCATCGTCGGAATCGCTGTCGGCCCTGCCATCCCCCGCAACGACATCACCATCGTCGTCGTCCGTGTCTTCCACGCCCAGCAACAACCGAAAGGGGAGCGCGGCGCTGCCGGGGTTCGAGGAGGGACCGATCACCCACCTCTCCCTGAGCTTCAACCGGTTGGCCGGCCTCCAGCTGTCAGGCGCGCTCGGCGGGCTCGAGGAGCTGCGCCTCAGCCACAACCGCCTGGCCAAGCTCGCGCGCCTCGAGGGACTCATCGAGCTCCGGCGGCTGCGATGCCTTGACCTCTCCCATAACCTGCTCGCCGACCTGTCGCTTCTGGCCGCGTGCCTCGCCCAGGGCAAGCTTGCCCGGCTGGAGCGCCTCTTCCTGCACAACAACCGCATCGCCTTCCTGCCGCTCCACTTCGTCGCCATGTTCGGCGGCGATGCCAGAGGCAAGGACAAGGCCAGCAGGTATTCGGAGTGCGAGCTCGGGTCGATCTCGCTGGACCACAACCCGCTTCTGCTGCCCACTGCCGACGCCACGGCCACGGAAACTGCACAGGCGACCCTGAACGGCGAGCTGCCCGGCGTTACTACCCCTCCCACGCTGCGAGCCATGTGCTGGCAGCTGGCCGTCCAGCGAGGCACCGCCAGTAGCACCAGCAGGTGGGCCGGCGACGAGCAGCTCATCCGGCAACTACGATCTATACTCGACGAGGGACGCGCAGCGGCGAGGGAGTGCAGCCTGTGCGGGTGCGCCTACATCGGCGCGCCCGTGGCTACGGCTCGTCGCCCGTGGGCGGGCTCGCTGCTGGGCCAGCCCGCGCGCAACTTCACCGTGGGCGGCGATGCCTGCTCCCTCTCCTGCGCGCGGCTTCTGCAGACGCAGCTCGCCAGAGCCGCATCGGCTGCGGTTGGGGCAGGCAACGCTGGCGAGATGTGAGCCATCTCCTTCCCCCCATCCAGCTCCACGCCACCATCACTCACATTCCCAGTCATTCCTCAACATGCTGCCATCACCCTCATCGTCGCGTATTGCGCACATGTTTCGTTACCTCGGGGCAGGCCCGTGGTGATTACAACTCCGCGAAAGTGTTAGGCCACAAGAGCCTTGAGCTTGCGGCCCCTTTTCTTCTCGTTTCGCCTCTCATTCAAATCACGCTTGCCATGGAAGCCACACAGGTACCTTTCGTGCATACCTTCACTTTGCAGATTGAGGGCGTGTTGAGCATGGCATAGTTAATTCATTACTTAATGCGTTTTAATGAGAGGCGACATGAATGCGGATTAATTTGAGTTGATCGAATGCGCACCAGGGACGCGAGGGCTACGTTCACTTGGGCGAACGTGCCGAGGGCAAGGCGGCCTTCGACTTCAAGAAGCTCTACCTGCGAATCAACACCGAGACCGGCTCGCTTGACTTCCTTAAAGCGCCCAAGAACAAGGCACGGCAGCATTCTCACTTCTTCAGATCTTGCAATGCTATCCACACATCTGCCATGCGGTGTACTGCGGTCTTGATGAGGGAGTGATTTTTCCGTGATTCTGGCCATTGGAAGCTTATGTGAGATTTGTTGTACACAGGACGTGGCCAAGCGCATCGAGCTGCCCTCAGTGGAAGAGGTGGCCGCGATGGACCGCGACCCCAAGAAGCTCAAGGCCACCCAGTGGCCCTTCAAGGTCGTCGTTGACAAGAAGCCCCTCATCGTCATGGCCGAGTCCGAGAAGGGTTCGTTAGTGCACTCCGCCACTTCGCCACGTCGCTGGCACCGCAGGCGCACGCGCGCATCAACGGGCGCATGCGTCAGTCGCAGCTGTGTCACTCACAACGGCAGCTTGCTGCTCCTTTCTCAACGTTTGTAGAGCTCAACGAGTGGCTGGAGAGCATCAACGCGAGCAAGAAGCAGGCGACCGAGTTCCTGGACACCATCCTCCCGCGCACCGCCGCCACGCTCAGCAACACACAGAAGGTCCAGCTCGTGAACTTCCGTGAGAAGCTCTTCTCGACCGGTCTCACCGACGAGGAGAAGGAGGTATGACCATCCACCATCTTCGTCGCCTCCAATCGCCATCTCGCCGTTTCCGCTCCCTGTGGCACTGTCGCGTCGTGTCTCCGTGTGTTGTGTGCTAATCGGCGAGCGTGCGTTCAGTGGTGCAATGACGCTTGCCTGGCGCGTTACCTGAGGGCGAGGGTGGACAAGTTCGGATGGAACCTCGAGAAGAGCTTGGCCATGATCCAGGACACCCTGAAGTGGAGAAGGGAGTTCAAGCCCGAGACCATCAAGGAGGAGGTACGGCTCTCAACTGCAGCCCCAACCCAGACCTGTCTTTTCACGAAGTCTTCTTTTATGCGTCGATCACACAGGACGTCAAGGATCTGATCGAAATGGGCATGCTCTACAACAACGGCAAGGACAAGCAGGGCAGACCCATCGTCATGGTCAAGTTCAAGTACGCCGCCTCGCACCTCCCCTTCTCGCCAGGTCGTGAACATGTTGTGTACGCGAGTGCAATGTCGTGACCGGTCTCCACCCTGTGCGCGCAGCCAACCGATGACGGACTTCGTTCTGTACACGCGCTACGTCGTGTTCGTGATGGAGAAGGCCATCGCCTCCATGAACCCTGAAGGTGCGCGACCTCCCCCCCTCCGAGTTTGATCGCTTCGTGTGCGGCCCGACTGACCTCTTTTCTTTCTTTTCTTTTCCTTTTTTGCAGAGACTGAGCAGATGCTGTGGATCCTCGATCTCAAGGGCTCCAACAGGAAGTGCTTCCCTCCTAAGGCAGTGTGCAAGGAGGCCCTCAACATCTTCTACACACATTACCCCGAGAGGTGCCTTGACTCTTCTGCGCTCGTTCTGGTTGTGTTGCACTGGTCCACCACCACCAGGGAACTGACGAGCCTTTTGCTGCGTGTGGGGCCAGGCTGCACAAGCTGTTCATCGTGGATGCCCCCAAGGTGTTCTCCGTGTTCTGGGCCATGCTCGGCGCCTTCCTCGAATCCGACACGAAAGCCAAGATCAACTTCCTCTCCGGTAACGCATGCCCATCTCTCCCCTTTCTCTTTCTCTTCGGAGGTGCTGACAATCGTCGGACCTCTTTTGGTCGATCCGTATGTGGCCACAGGTGCGATTGGCGCTGGCCAGAAGAAGACCGACGCACTTCTGGAGCTCGTCGATGTCAACGTGCTCGAGTCAGACTACGGCGGCAACAACCCCTCCAAGGACAGGGGTGTGATCAAGGTGAGGGTCCCCTCCTTCTCCTCTGTTCCTTCCTCTCCACTTGCCCAACCCTCTCCCCACACTGATGATTTCCAACCCCCCCAAAAAAACCACAACAGGAGGACGAGGAGGAGCCCGAGGAGTCCGAGCTGGAGGCCAAGGAGGAACAGGAGGGCAGCGCTTGAATTCTTTGTGTCTTCTCGTCATCGCCCTTCCTGAATACAAAGCGGTTCACTACTCCTCTCCTCGCTGCTCGCGCAGGTTGATCTCGGCCTCCGCGATGGCGGCCTTGAGGCTGTCCGAGTCAAAGCCCACGACCGTGCCGCAGTCGACGCACACCTTGACCTCCATCCCGTCGGCGAAGGTGAAGCCCGGGAAGTGGGGCATGTAGCAGCCCTGCTCCGCCTCGCCGTTGGGCAGGGTGTAGGAGTTGCCGTCGCACGACCGCGCGCACATAGTCAGCATCTGACGGCCGCCACACTTGGCGCACGGCGGCACGGCCTCGGCCTTCTGTCGCTTGCGCCGGGTGTCGCGCTGCTTGGCCTCCTCGGCCTCGCGCTTCTCCGCGGTCATGGGTCCGCGGCGGCAGGCGTTGCACAGGCCGTCATCGCCTGCCCAGTTGTCGCACTCCTCCTTAGAGCACTTGTTTGCCTTTTCCATGTTTTCGAATCTGGGGGTAAAGTGAGACGGCGGAGGGCCACCTCCGGCTTTTCAAGGCCCACAATCGGCTTGTCGGGGCAAGACGCAAGCACCCGAAGGAGAAAGAAATTTGCCAGGTAACATTTTGCACTTTTCGAAATGTTTTGGAAACGAGCAAGTTGAGTGAAACTATTTGGTTAAAATTCTGGGTTCCGCCCTCATCGCATCATCAATCAGCTCGATTGCATCTTATCTGAAGAACAGCTTTGAGATGAACGCGGAGGAGGCTGCAGCGGCGATTGCGTCCAACACGGAGGGGGTCTACGATGAGGTGGAAATCGAGGACATGGAATTTGATGAGGAGAAGAAGATCTACACTTATCCTTGCCCCTGTGGCGACAAGTTCGTCATCTCCGAGGTACGTCCGGGCCACTCTCCACTCTGCACTGCAACTGATAATTAACGGCAAGCGATTTAGGAGGAGCTGATGAATGGAGAAGAGATTGCGCGATGCCCGAGCTGCTCGCTGTACATCCGAGTAATTTACGAAGTGGAAGAGGAAGAGGAGGAGGACAAGGACTCGAGCCTAGGCTCCGCGACGACCATTGCCGTCAACTAAATCTTCGAGAGATGAGATGGAGAAACACAATTTTTGAAAAGAGGCCGCGTAAACGAAACGCAATCGCAACGCGACAAGCGGCAGTGTACAGCACGCAAGGATGGATGGATGGATCATCACATAAAAATACATTAAATAAGTCCGCTTGCAGTGCGCGCAAGCGACCTCGCCACTGGAGAGCGATCGATCACTCGATCGTGGGCGAGGCCGCGCGAGGGGTGACCGATCGGCGCGCGCGGATGGTGGAGGGCGAGTAGTGCGAGAAGGAGGCCGTCGAGGAGAGCGGCGACGATGACGTCGTAGCGGGCGCCGGGACCGACGACGACGACGAGGCAAGTGAAGAGTAGACCGACGAGACAGGCATCGAGGGCGACGAAGGCGGCGATGGCGCCGCGCCGTGGTGGTGGTGGGCGCCCGCCGCGATGGGCGACGAGCGGGGCGAAGGGGTGAAGGTGGCGACGGCAGGCGTGGAGGGAGAGGGGACGGAGGCGGTCGACGGGTCGGTGGTGAGGAGGTTCTGTACAAAGGTGGCCTCGTAGACGCTGTTGGAGAAGAGGAGGGAGGAGTCGGGGCAGCAGAGGAAGAGCGGGGCGAAGACCATGGCCAGGTTGTCCACGTCCATCTTCGTGACCGCGCTGTACTCGGGCCGGCCCAGGTCGCGCAGGAAGTCGAGCACGTAGACCATCACCCGCTGGTTGAGCATCGGCACCCCCACCAGCGCCTCCCAGCACCGCTCCGGCTGCCTGTACCCGTCCACTTTCACTGTTGCCGTGCCGTGTCGCGGTGAGTTGTGTGCGGTGGCGTGTGTGCGTGCGTGTGTGCGGTGGTGCGTGTGTGAACCTATTTCGATGGCGGAGTAGTAGATGTCGGCGGGGATGAGGGGCTCGGCGAGGTCGCGGATCCAGCGCTTGAGGATGGTGGTCAGGATGTGCACATCGTCCACACCGAGCAGCACGTCGTAGTCGCCCTCGTTGAGCTGCGCCACGAGCTCGATGACGCGGTCGTTGTTGCCGGAGATGCGGAACACGCCCACGGTCTGGTGGCCGCGGTTGTTGATGATGGCGCGCCGCAGCTCGACCAGTATCCGGGGCACCTGCAGCGTGGGGTCGCTCTCCTGCTGGAGGGCCATGACCTCCTCGAGCGTGGACTTGAAGATGCGCCGCCTGAGCTGGTTGTTGGCGCCCTCGTAGGCCTTCTCCTCAGCCTGCGCCATCTTGATGCCGTTGAGAATCGCCATGCCGCTCTTTCGCAGACTGAACGGACGCCGCGGCTCCTTTCGCTTCTCCTTCTTCTTTCCGTCTTTCTCTGTCATGGCCCGCACACGCACACGACACACGACACACGACACACGACACACGACACACGACACACACGGGCGACACGCAATGAGTGTTTATGTCCGAGGAATCGCTCGGACATAAAAAATAAAACGAAGACGGGAGAGTGGGAGCGTAGCGTACCCTTCTTTTTCTTTTCTTTCTTTTCCTTTTTGCTGGCCTTGGAGGAGGGCGAGCCTTCGGGGGGCACGGGCGACGAGGCGTAGTTGACGCTCCGCGTTCGCTTGTCTCGCGAGTCGCCCACCTCGAGCGCGTAGAGCTCGAGCTTGCCCTCGAACTCCTTGTTCTTGGCGAGCGACACGATGACGCCCAGCTGGACCAGCATGGAGCACACCATGACGGCGTCCATCGGCGTCGTCGCCAGCGACTCCTCGAGCAGCCACTCGATCAGCCGCGCGCCGGTGAAGTAGTACTCGTACACCTTCAGGCCCGCACACGCACGCACACTCAAGTTAGCAGCGATCGGAGAAAGCAAAAGCGAAAGCGAAAAAGAATGAAGGTTTGGGGGGATTGGGACGTACCACCCCGCCGACTTTCTTGGCCTTTTGCTTTTCGATGGGCATCTGCGAGACCTTGGGCAGGATCTCGGTGATGGCCATCTTCTTCACGGTCTTGATCGGCGCTGACGCATCGACGAGCAGCACCTTCTTGACGAGGCCCCCCTCTCCCGGCGCTTCGTCATCGCGGTCATCTGGTCGATCAAAGAAAATAAAAATGAAATTAAATAAAAATAAAAATGGGCCACAAAATGGTGGAGCGGAGCGTACGGTGGTCGATGTGTTCGTGGGATCGTGAGCTGATGGTGGGGATGGCCGATCGTCCCGATGTTGACCCTCCGCTCCGTCGCCTCCGATCGAGCATCGCCTTCGTCAACACCGACCTTGTGTGCGTGTGCGTGTGCGGTGATGCGTGTGTCGTGTGTCGTGTGCAACCCCCATTGTCGTCAGTCCCTGCCGTGTGCGTGTTGTGCGTGTTGTGCGTGTGCGGTGGTTTTTTGTAGCGCGGGCGGTACCCATCGCTGGCGCTCATCTGGTCTTCGAGGTCGGACACGCTCTTCTTGAGGAACGCGTTGGAGTGGTTCGATCGGCCGGGCGAGCGCTGGACCTCGGCCAGCTTCCGCCGCATCTCCCCCGAGTCCCGCTTGAACTTGCGCACCACGCCGCCGCCGCCGCCGGCCACCAGCGACGACGAGTCCTCGGCCATCGGATGCGGCGACGAGTGGAGCGGCGACGACGGTGACGAGCGCGGGCTCCCGCCCGGCGACTCGCCCTCGGGCGTCGGCCCCCACGACAGCCGGGCTTGCCTGCCGGGCCTGGGCACCTCCTCGAGGTCGAGCGGATTGAGTAGGTCGTGCCGGGCGGGCGGCGGGGTGGAACTCCCGGCGCCGGCGTCGTCGACGACGAGGGATTCGGCGGAGGAGTTCAGGCTGGCCGACGAGGTTCGGCTGATCGAGGCCGACGACGGGCCGCCGCTGCCGCCGCCGCTGGTGCTGATGTTGGTGGTGTTGACGTTGTTGCCGGCCTTGATGCGGTTGAGAATCTTGAGTCGAGGCCCTCGAGGAATCTCCATTTCTTTGAGCTCGTTCTCGTCCAACAGCATGATGCTCTCCACGTCGAATTCCTGTGTGTGCGCGTGCGTTGTGAAGCCACGAGAACCACAAAAACGACGAAAGCGTTAGTGTGCACAATGCACTCAGAAAAGAACGAAAGCGACCACAGTAAAAAGAACGAAAGCGACAGTGGATGACACCGATGAGAGTGCGGCACATGTACCTCCTTGGCAAAGACGGCCGCGTATTGCGGAAGGCCGATGCTGGCAAAGAACTCCTCCAGTTCTGTTCCAGCTCCGCCGCCTCCGCCTCCTGCTCCCGTTGTTGTTGTCGGGCCTTCTCCCGCGCTCTTCCCACCCGCTGCAGCCTTTTCCGGACCCTCCTTCTGCCCGGCCTGGCATCATGACACATCAGGATGAACAAATCAGCGTTTTGCCACCCCCTCGCTCTCCCCATGGATCGATGGAAATCGATTGAATCGCAAATGCAGATTTACGGGGGGGAGGATACGAGTTGGGCTTGGAGATCGGCTATGAGTTGCTGCTGCTTCTTGATCTCCTGTCGGGCTTCGTCGATGTCGCCGGCCGCGGGCTCGGCCGAACCCGACGAGAGGGAATCGTCGGTGACCGACGACGACGAGGATTGGAGGTCGACATCATCTTCTTCAATTCCATGTCGCTCAAGACCGTCCCTTGAGCTTTGCATTCCGCTGAGAAATGCTACACCAGAACTCTGATGGAGTTGAAGGGGCCGGCCACGCAGAAGGGGCTTCTTCGCGTGCTTCCTCTTTATGTGCCCGAGTATTATAATCTGAAGAACACAACGAAGCACACCCCGGAGAAGTCGAACAAAAGAAGCCCAGTAAAAGCGCGAAATTAATTGATATATAATTCAAACATTTGAATTATGGGGCTCCCACCTCGCTACACGGAAAGATAAAAAGAAATGAAAACATTTTACTCATATATGTATGTATTTATAAAGGTAAAGAGAATAACATATGTTGGACAAGGAAACCTACGATGACGATGAGGAGCGCTCGACGGGGGATGAAGGAGCGCCGGAGGGGATGGGAGAGGAGAGTCGAGCGGGCGCGGCAACGCTGCCACCACCGATGGCGGCTTCGCTGTGATCTGGCGGGAGGATGGCCTTGTGCTTCACGAACGACAGGTAGGCGTTCCAGCCCACACAGACCCCGTTCACCACCAACGACTGACAGTCGGAGAGCCACGACACGCAGACGTGAAAAAGGCGGTGAGCAAAGACCGAGTCTGGGCTAGCGAGCGAGCGAGAGAAAGTAGTAGTAGTAGTGGGGCGGGGCGTACCTGGTAGAGTGGATTCACGAATCGGAAGTTGAGGACCTGGGCAAAGGGCCACACTTGACAATCAACGATGAACGTGGACAGGTAGTCCTGCTTCAGCTTGGATCGGATCTGTTGTTGGCCACCGCGATGATGAGTTTGTGCGCCCTCTCCCTCTCCTTCCTCGAGCGCGTCAAGTCGAGAGAGAAAGGGTTGCGTGCGTACCTGATGGAGCGTATGCCCCTCCATGATGGAGGTCAAGCTGAAGAAGAGCAGCAGGTAGGGCGGTTCGAAAATGAGCTGATCTGCCGCCACCTGTCAACCCGTGTATGGTCAGCGGCCACCGACCAGCGCCCGCGGAGGGAGGAAGAGGGATGGCAAGTGCATAGTATACCTTGGCTGCGATGTACTTCCACACGGAGCGCTGGGCCAGGTGGGCCGTCTTGCGCTCCAGGAACGAATACCACCAGCAGTAGACCGGACCTGATGGCGGCCATGATCGATCACGGTGAACACAGAGCTCTGAGCTGTACCCAAGGTGGCCAAAAGGTCGGGACGCACCGGCAACGCAGAGGCCGTAGGCGGTGATGCGGGCCGTCCGTCGCCAGTCCAGGTCGCTCCACGCCCTCCCGTCGGCCTTTTGCGATATCACATCGCCGGAAAACCACAGCACACCTGCCCTCCACCAAGCACCAGCGGTCAGCACATGTCTGGCAACGAGTGGCCGCGCACAAGGAGAGGAAAGGAGAAAAAAGATAATGGCATGAATTAAATCTAATTTGATTGAATTCTGTTTTTTAAATGTTGGTGATCATGTCAAGTGGCAGCGACAGCTATGAACGTTGGCAAGGACGGTTGCAGAAGAGGGAGGGAAATCGGGGGAGGGGGGAGGAACCTGCAGTGAGTATGTTGGTGCGGTAGGGCCTCTCCGCGGTTGCCCGCGAATAGCTATGCAACACCTTCTGCACCCAACCTGCTGCCGCTGCCATTCAGTGTATTGGAGATGATGCAACAGTGCAAGATGATGAGGTCCCTCTGTGTGTGGCACACCACCGGCCTTGCGCTGTGTAACGAGACACGGACATAGCGAGCATACCTCACATTTTGTTCCTGTGTTTTACGGGAACGGCCACACACCTTCGCTCTTGAGTTCCAGGCCAATCGATTCCTTCCATACGGGCGCGCAATCGATTCTCCTCTCTTGTTGAGGACTGGTGGAGTAAAGAACAAAGAGCACAGGCGTCACGGCATGTGGATAGAGCCAAAAGAAACCTCTGGTTCGCTTTCTTGAATCCATTTTTTTATTTGTGTATTGCAGATATATTACCCCCCCCCCAATGCACTCACGACGGGGGCATTTATATGCCATATTTATTTATATATTAATATATAATGTATGTTAGGAGGGCAGTGGACGGGGTGGGAGGAGGTGAAGCGCAAACGCTACTTCGTGCTGCAGCGGCACTACTCCGCCGACAAACCGATAGAGCGCCTCGTCTTCGGCTTTCGCTCCCTCGTCTCCCGCTCGCTGTACATGTTCCTCTTTCATGCGCACGCACACACCGCACACGCGCGCGTTTAGGCATCGTGTCGTGCACTGCACTTACTTGGTTGTTGGTCATTGACGCCACTGTATCGCGGCGCAACACAGACAACAGCCCTACCGCATCATCGTCAGCGTGCGACCATACTATGCCATCGCGTTGGGCGCCAACCTCAAAGAGGTCCGTGTGCCGTCCGGTCGATCGTGACCTCTTCTTTCTCGAACGATGACCGTCCTGTGTGCGTGGTCAGATTTTGGAGCACTGGAAGTGGGTGAACAAACACCTGGCCAAGACCGGCCGGTTGGACGCGGTTGAAGAGAAGGAGGCCCTCGCCTTCCTCAACTACATCTTCAGCCTCCTCGCCACCGGTACCCCTTTGATCTCACCATTCTTAGCCCACTCTACCAACTGAGTGATGGTGGCGCTCATCGCTCATCGCTCAATCAACCGACAGGCAAGGAGGACAAGGCGAAGCAGCTGCTGCTGCCCGAGCCGCAGCCGATGAAGCTTCCCACGGTGGTGCCCGAGGAGTCCGAACCAGCTTCCACGACCACCATCACCATCACCTCCGACACAACCTTCTCCTCGGAGGACTCGCTCCAGCACTCCACCACTTTTGACTCTTGTTCTTCCTTCACTTCTTCTTCCGCCTCTGAGTCCTCTACTTCCACTGCCACTTCTTCATCATCGTCCTCCCACGTCCTGTCCACCCGCACGCCATCATCGACGATGACGATGACGAGTTCGAGCTCCACCGACAAAGTGGCCCCGGAGACCGGGAACGCCAGCGACAACGACGACGACGACCTGTGCAAGCTGTGCTTCGAGTCCCCCATCGACACCGTCATCCTCGACTGCGGCCACGCCCTGCTCTGCGCCCGGTGTGCGGACGAGCTGCGGATCGACGCCGGCTGCCCCGTGTGCCGAAGTCCCATCCGCTGCGTCCAAAAGATGTACAAATGCTGAAGAAGAAGAACCAAAGCAAGACCTTCTGATGTAAACACACGTCGAGTGAACATTGACGAATCGAGAGTTCTGCAGTGGGTGAAGGGCAACACGCGCAAGGGGAGTATTCACATAAATAACTTACAAAGAAGTTCAGAAGGAAAGAGGCTGTGTGCTGCACGACTACGATCATCGCTGCTCCTATCTCTTTTGCTTTGCTTCGCTTTTAGGCGTAGTACTGCAGACTCTTCTTCTTCTTTGCCTGAACGGCGGCGATGCCCTCCATGAAGTCCTCGTGCCTGAGGTCCTCGGCGTCTCTCCTCAGCGCAAGCATACCCGCCTTATCATCAACACTCGTCAGTCCCAAAACTCATCGTAGCGAAGAGAGAGAGAGAGAGGGGAGGAAAAGGGTTTTGTTGTCGTTACCTCCACGCACACGGCCTTGAGCTGAGCGCCGTTGAAGTCCTCCGTGCTCTGGCCCAGCTCCTCGAAGTTGACATCCTTGCTGACGTTCATCTTACGCGAGTGGATGCGGAGGATGGAGGCGCGAGCCTGCTCGTTGGGCAGAGGGAACTCGATCTTCCTGTCCAGACGTCCCGAACGCAGCAGGGCGGGGTCGAGAATGTCGATTCGGTTGGTGGCGGCGATGACCTTCACGCTGAGGTCGCTGCTGAATCCGTCGAGCTGGTTGAGTAGCTCCAGCATCGTGCGCTGCACCTCTCTGTCACCGGACTTGTCGCTGTCGAAACGCTTGGTGCCGATGGCGTCCAGCTCGTCGATGAAGATGATAGCGGGCGCCTTCTCCTTGGCCAGCGCAAAGGCGTCGCGCACCAGCTTGGCACCGTCACCGATGAACATCTGCACCAGCTGGGGGCCGGCCAGCTTGAGGAAGGTAGACTTGGTCTGCGCCGCGCAAGCACGGGCCATCAGCGTCTTACCCGTGCCGGGCGGGCCGTACAACAGCACGCCTGCACCCAACACCTCGCGTCAGCTTCCATCACCAACTTGATCTCTCAAAGAGAAAGGCCAGAGAGCGAGAAAGGAGAGACGCACCTTTGGGCGGCTGGATGCCGATAGAAAGGAAACGATCCTTGTGAGTGATGGGAAGCACGACGGCTTCGATGAGCTCCTCGATCTGCTTGTGGAGACCACCGACGTCTGAGTAGTCCTCGGTGGGCCGCTCGTCGACTTCCATGGCCTTCACACGGGCATCGTACTCGGGCGGAAGAGTGTCGAGGATGAGGTAGCTGTCCTTGTTTACGCCGATGAGGTCGGCGGGCCTCAGCTCGGCAGGGTCCACCAGACCCACCACGGGGAGGAAGATGGTCTGCACAGCGAACGTAACAAGATGAGACAAAGCCAGATTCAGTGGCAAGCGCGCAAAACAAGCTCGCAGCGAGATCATACCTTTCGGTCGGACGTCTTGATCACTGCGCATTTGCCAGTGGCGGGATGAGCGTCCAGTTCCATGGTGCTGCCCTCCTCCTCTTCCTCGGGCTCGGCATCAATCAGCTGCAGATGTGGGACGTGGGGACACCGATTGAGTGAAACGAAATGCTAAACACAAATGCGCACCAACACCCCCAAAACACTGGATCTGATCACATGCACCCAGCGCATACCTCGACGACATTGGCGACGAGATAGGGGAGCTGCTTGTTGAGCTTAATCTTCTCGTTGTTCTCCTTGATCTTCTCCTTGAGGCCGGCCTGCTCGTGGTGAAGCCGGTTTTGTTCGTGCCTCAAGATCTGGATTTCTCGATCGAGTGCCCTCGTGCGCGCAGTGATGTCATCGACCGAGCTATTGAGGATCTCAGGGTCAATTTCCTCTTCCTGCAGCGCCTCCTCCAGGGTCTTGGGCTTGTCGCCTCCCTTCTCAACTTCCATCGTGTCCGCCATTCTTCTTTATCTCAATCGCTGTGTTCGTTCTGTCTGCCCAGACTCTGATCAAAGTCTTTCGCGTCTTCCCTGCGGCCAGCTTCGCTTTGCCAGCACACCGAGCGCTGGGCATGATTTCTGCGGACATTTCATCCTGCACAAAAATTGCAGCCTCCAAAACTTGTTTTTTATCATTTTTAAAAATGCAAAAAATTGTTTGTACACAGCCAAAGGCGAAGGGCAACGTGATCGTGCTGATGGTGGTGGTGGCTGAGCCACTCAAGCTTCGTCCACCACAACCACGCGTCATGCGCGCGCGACGGGGACGTGGGGTCATCGCAGCTTGGCAGAGTCCATGGTGAGGCCCAGTCGAGTGAGAGGAGCTGAGTCGAGATCCGCCGCGTCGGGGTTGCCCCGGCTGAAGACGAGCTTGAGGCGTCGCTCCTCCCGGCGAAGGCGGTCGGCCAGCTCGGGGTCGGGGAAGAGGAGGGTGAGCTCGTCGTCCTCCTCAGACAGCTCCTCGAGGGTCTTGCCCACCGTCTCGTCGACGAAGAGCACCGTCATGAGGTAGCCGGCCGCGCACACGCCGCCGCACACCATGAGCGTCACTCCCACGCCCCACTGCTCGAGCATCGGACCCATGACGATGGTGCCGATGGCCGCCCCGGCCTTCCCGCACGCCGCCGAGAGGCCGTGGCATGTGGAGCGGATCTTGGTGGGGAACACCTCGGCGGGCAGGACGTAGGTGGTGGTGTTGGGGCCGGCGTTGGCGATGAAGTAGGTGAGCCCGTAGAGGAAGATGAAGGCCGGCGAGAACATCGTCACCCAATCGAAGAAGCCGCCCAGCACCATGTAGAGCACCGTCATGAGCGCGAAGCCCCACATCTGGAGCGTGCGGCGGCCCCAGCGGTCGATGAGATAGATGCTCAGCCAGTGGCCCGGCAGCCCGATGAACGCCACGATCATCGTGATCTTGGCATCGTTCATCAGCTGCGACATCTCGCCGTCGTTGCCGCTGAGACCCGCCGTTTCCAGAAGCGTGCCCGTGAAGAGGCTGGGGGAACACGCACAGGCGAGGCACAGTGAGCAGTTGGCCTGTGGGGGCAACGGCGTCGTGGTATATAGAGGCATGGTAACGTACCCATTGGCATAAAGAACCGAGTCGAGGAGGAACCACGTGCTACATGTTCCCAGGAGCTTGCGCCAGTAGACCTGGAAGATGCTCCGCCAGTTGATTGGCTCATTTTTCCTTTGCTCCTGCGGCACGCCAAGAATCGAATGTGAGACAGGCACCCATTCCTTTCCCCACACAGAGCACCGTGTATTACCTCCATGAAGGCTTTCGTTTCGTGCATTCCCAGGCGCGGCCAGAACGTGATGAACGCAGGTATGGCGCCGAGCCCCAACGCTAACCTGTGGGTTCATCAAATCATCGGATGAGTCCCACGTGCGCTGATGTAGTGGGCACATGAGAGGAATATGCGAGTGCACACACGGCCAGGAGTCGCGCACCGCCACACCAAGTCTAGATTGTTGCCGGCGACGATCAGCAACAAGTAGAGGATCATCGGTGCCACCAGCTTGCCCCATCCCTAGTCGCAAAAGAAGCCCGTGATAAGTGGATGCTGAAGGATCCTGTGGCCAAGGCGCCGCGTACCTGAAGTGAGAACACGCCGGCTATCCGCGCGCCTCGGTTGGCGTCGTTCTCGAAGAACTCGCTCGTGATGATGGCGGTGAGAGGATACTCTCCGCCGAGCCCAACGCCCAGAATCAATCGCCACACCCCTGCGCGACCGACAACGTTGCGACGACGTGGTAAGTAGAGATGAACGTGACGTGCCCTCACTCAGAGGAGCTCTGTACCGAGGCAAAAGAACACAGAGATGATCCACACATTCCAGGAGAGGAGTGAACTGCCCAAGGTGCCCACGATGACCAGCGCCATGGTGGTCACGAACATGAGCTTCCTGCCGAGCTGGTCCGCGACCATTCCGAACAGCAGCTGTCCGATGAGCGTGCCCTGCAGGTGGTGCAATCGTCGGTAAATTCACCCATGACGCAAGCAGCTTGCAAGCTGGATACGTACAACGACGACGCTGCTCGTGATGGCCGATATGGTGAACTCATCCGCTTGGTCGGGGTACACCTTCTCCAGCACGTTGTTTACGAGGTTGATACTGAACAACACTGTTGCGTGCACGCATCAAGTCCTGCAGGGGTGTGTTGTTTTTTCTGGCTTTCTGGCACATACCATAAGCATCAACAAGGAAGCCAATTCCTGTGATGGTCGTGGTCGAAGGCTCGAATCGGCGTAGAATCGCTTCCACAATCCATTCAAGCTGGCTCATGCCGCTCGTTGGCAGTTAAATGAATAAATATCAGAAAAGATGTAGGTGGATGTGGATAGCCGCAATATTGTAATCAGAATCGTAGTAGCGGGATGCTGCAGAGGCTCATTGTGGCCACCCTCAACACTTGCGGGCGGAAGCGAACTGCCTGCCCACCTAGAAATGAATCGAAGCAATTCTATTTTCTTTTTTCTTCTTTTTCTCACTTGTGCAGGATTTGTACAAAGGGAAGGACTCGCGAGACGTCGCCACAGGCAACACTCAGTCCTTGAGCTGGACCACGATGACGCTGATGTTGTCGTAGCTGCCACTGGTGTATGAATAGTCCACCAGCATTCGCGCCAGCTGATAGGCCTCCATGGCGCCGCCATCGCCGTTGGTGGTCGAGATACCCGAGGCCGACGAGGTCAGGCTGCCATTCCGATTCCGGCCGTTCGATGAGCTCGACGTCATACGCCGCAGCCTGGCCTGGTCTTCCTCCCTCTGCTGCGCCTGCTCCTTGATCTGCTTGCGCCACTTGGTGAGCAGCTCGCCCACCTTCTCCTCCTCGACTTCGTCCCACAGGCCATCACAGCCGAGAATAAGGTATCTGAGTGGGATAGTCGACACATAAGTGCATCGTTAGCGCACGCGCAAGCGATTCACTTGTTCGGGAAAGAAGACGAGGCACGAAGAACGTACCTGTCGTCGGGGCTAATAGGTACAATGTTGATGAAGGGGTCGGGGCTGAGGCACGGCTGTAAATCAAAGTCACCAAATCCGCGACTCACACTGAGCGTGCCATTCAAACGCGGTGCATCCTGCGCACGAGACGGGAAGGTTAGTCACCTATCACACCTGCACATTAGAATCGCAGGAGGGGAAAGGAGAGACGACACACCTGGGGGAGAGTAACCACGCGACCGCCCAGCGCTTCTATCCGCTCCTTTTCCTCCGGATCCTCGGGGCGGTGGTCCTTGCTAAGGCGCACAACTTTGCCTACGGAGTGGAAGTGCAGATAAGTAAGCAGGAGACCACAGCTTCACATGTACGGGTGTCGCCTACCTGAGTCTTTGTATAGCACAGCTCGCGAGTCTCCCGCGTTGGCGATGACAAGCTTCTGGCCGACTATCCACGACATGAGAACGGTGGTGCCGGAGAAGTCTCCAATCAAGTTCAACGTCTGGCAGATCTTGCTATTGGTCGAGTGAAAGCTTTCCCTAGGGGTGGAACAGGAGGTGAGTACAGCGCGCAGGGGAAGGGAGTAGGGAGGTGATGAGCTCTACCTGACTACTTTTGTAATGAGGGCATCTTCGTCCTCTATCTTCTGACCCCGTTCCTTCTGTAGCGTGATGTACTTCCAGAGCTCCAAATACAGCGTGGCGGCCGCCAAGTCAGCCGCTCCCTTGCCCCCGTGTCCGTCGAACATCCCCACAAAATCCTCGTCCGGGTACCCACGATACATTCCCCTGCGCGTGGGCTTGGTCAGCAACAAAGCAACAAAAAGGTAGATGGTTATTGCCCTCTGCCGGGTTTGAACCAGCGACCTCACGATCTTCAGTCGTGCGCTCTACCAGCTGAGCTAAGAGGGCTTACTTATTTAGGAAAGTAATGCATGAAATTTGGCGCCTACACAAGGGAATCGAGCAGGGGTGCGCCTGGGGGTGGGAGGGGTACCTGATGACAATTTGGTCCTCCATGGTGGGCCTGCGGCCGGTCATATCGGCGTAGCCGATGGGATATCGGAGACTGGGGCTGAGCTCCACCGGGCGGTCGCGCAGAGGCGAGCCCTGTAGTCCCTTCCTGCGCAAGAAGCCTGTGGGACCGCACGACGAGGAGACTTGAGTCGGCCGTGAGAGAAGAGGAGAAGGAAAGAATGGGCGTGACGCACGTACGTGTGTGCTGGAAGTGGAGGGTGAGCTCCCTCTGTAGCCGATCGATCAGTAGGTCAAGCATGCGCTTGTCCAAGTGCGAATCGAGCAGCTCCAAGCAGTCGCCCTCGCTGTTCAACCGAAAGCCGACCGCCAGCAGCATCTCAACCGCCCCGCTCACGCTAGTGGTACGCACACGAATAGCGAACTCATGAGTCACATGTCGCAGAGATGCCGATGGAGAGTCGGGAGGGTGGATGGCTATTTCTACCTTTGCACCTTCCACTTGAAGTTCGGGTTGTGAACGCCGATGCGCTTGTAGTGGTTGCTCTCGGGGTGATGCTTGATGTTGAGGAGGTAGGTGAGGAGCGTCTGCAGGGCCTGCTGGAACTCTTCCGCAGTGTGGCCGCTGTTCGGCTCCTTCATGTCCTTGAGCGCCGACTCCACCAGCGTGTTGGCCGCCTGGGCCGCCTTCAGCTGGTCCGCCACCTTCCTCTCTAGCGACTGCAGATCCTGCCGCGGCCACGACTGGGCGAAGATGGCCTTCTTCCCTGCCGCTACTCGTTTGGGGGTGGCCTGTTTACTGCTCACCTCGTCCATGCCGGTGCTGGCCGATGCCTGTGTTGTCGTTGCCATGCTGGTGCTCTTGGGCGCAGTCGAAGTTGATTGGGAGCTGGCAAAGTAGGTGACGTTGCCGGTGATGTTCGTGCTTCGATCTGCAGATGAAGTGGTATGATTGAATTCGCTCGTTTGAATTTGAAAATAGCTATGAGCTAGTGGCGAGGAAAAGCTCTCTTGTTTGGAGTTTGGTAGGGGGGTGGGTGTGTGGGCTTCGACGAACGGAGTGAGGACAGGGCGGTTCTGCTCACCTTGACCTCATGGTCGCCATTCGATAGCCTGCCGACCCGTACGATGAAGGTGGATGACACTCGTGATGAGGCGGGCGCAGGGCGAAGAACCGGCCGCTTCTGCGGGTCCTCCCGCCAGGCGCTGCGTCGCTTCCACACGGAAATGCGTCAGTCACCCGTCCCTCGCTCGCGGAGTTACGCATTCAACTCCGAAAAGAGCGGGAAATCACTTTCTCTTTTCTCGGTCCTCGTTCGGGAACGTGCACCGACCACACTTACAGCAATGTTGTGATGTTCGTTCACCTTCCATAACTGTGCCACACGTGTGCCTGTACGCACAGAATTGGTTGAAAAAACGCGCTAGAGGCGGGCCAGGGTGGGACCGGCGTGCGGCCAGTGATCGTCGCCGTGGAGCCGATAGGTGGTGGGGAGGAGGGGACCGTCGTCCAGTATTTGCTTCACCTGTAGCGATTGAAGAACGTGAGGGCCAATTTAAAATCAAATCAGGGGTTCAACTGTGCGGGAAGCCGGATGTCGTACTCGGCCCTGGTGGAGATGCTTGTGGGGCGTCGGGAGGCATCCGATTCGTTGGGCCAGCTCGTCCATGTAGTTGGGGTAGCTTACGAACATCGGGTACTTGGGCTTCACCACGGCCAGCCTTTGCTTGTGCTTCTCGATATCCGCCAGCATGGTGGTCTGCGAGGCAGCGCTATCTTGTTCGCGAGGACCTGCAGTCACCACCATAACGAACATGTTGAGGTCACGAGCAGAGTGGTGGTACGAGACGGGCCACACCTACCTTGGCCACCCACCGGCTCTGCATTTCGGAGATGGCGAAGATGCTGCCGATCGCGTCGACGTGGGCGATGAACGCGAGGGTGGGGTGGAAAGGGTGGAAGACCTTCTTGTAGAGATCCAGCCTGCCCGCTTCCATTCCTGGCAACAGCGAGACATCGTCGATGAACGGGAAGGTCAGGTTGTAGCCCGTGCAGAAGATGATGGCGCCGCAATTCTCCATCACCGTCTGGTCAACGAACGTGATCTTGTCGCCGTCGATTCGTTGAATGTTGGGTTTGATCTTGATCTTCCCCTCCTCGAGCCGCGCAATGTATTCGTCCTTCTTCTTGACGAGGCTGTGGTGTGCGTGTTCAGGCCGTCGCGGCGGTGGTGGCATGCCTACCCGACACACAATGAACAAACGTACGCGCACACACGAGCTGAGTGCGGCGCATATCAAAGGGCGCTGGTCGAGGGCGCACGTACCATGCTGCATGAAGGCGGTTGTGAGCTGGAATGAGAGGAAGAGTTGCATACGCTCCTCGGGCGCCATCCGCTGTGCCGCACGCGAGAGAAGCTTCTGGTCCGTGGCCTGCCCAGCCTCCTCAACCGACAGAATCAGGGAACCTCTGCACAGCGTACAAGCGGTTTAAACTTCCCTTTCGTGTGAGTGCGGCACTAACAGGTGATCTGGGGGATGGTACGAGCGCGCAGATATGGTGACCGAGCGCGCCACTTGAGCGAGGTCAAGGGATATGTCCAAGGCGCTGTTGCCTGCCGGTCAGCCGTGTATCCACGCTCGTCAGTGGCGTGATTCTCATTGTTTCGTTCACAAGGGATTCCGAAGTACCTATGCCCACCAGCAACACGTCCTTGTCTGCATAAGGCTCTGGTACTCGGTAAATGTGCGAGTGAATGGCTTCGCCTTTGAACGACTCCTGGCCTGGTGCGTTGACCGTCAGCAGGCCTCTCGATTCGTGCCGCTACAAAGCTAACCTAAAGGTTATGGCAAGAGAGAGAGAGAGAGCAAACCTGGAAAACGAGGCAGGTTGGGGTTCCAGAAAACGCCACAGCACAGCAGGACAGCGTCGAACTCCAGAGTCTCTGTCCGCCCAGTCCGGCCTGAGAGCTCCAGCGCGCATAGCTGGACAATCAGAAGTGGAAGCGGCGGAGGTAGGCCAGGGTACGGTACCGCTCTTGCACGTGACCAGCCAGCGATCGGTGCCAGGGGAGCTCCAGTCGATCCGTTTCAAGTGGACCACCTCTGTGCGCAGGCGTATGAACCGGCCCAGGTCGAAGTGTGCCACATAGTCGGCCAGGTAGGCCTCCATCTCCCCGCACGTCGGAAACAGTGACGCGGTGGGCTTGAGCGGGAAGTCCGAGAACGACGTCATCTCTCTGCAGCCACGCCAGTCCACATGCGCACCACCCAGATAATGAGTGAGAATGCAAAGGATACCTACCAAGGGCAAGGGCAGAGGCACACCGCGAAGAGTTGGTGGTGAGGCACTTGTAAGCAGGTGATGCGGGAGCACAGCCGCCACCTGCGGTCGCCGACCGAGCACCGGGGTCAGCGGGGGGCGTGTACCGCCACACCCCGCCAATGCCGTCGGCCCGCTCGAACACCGTAGGGTGGAGACCCGCAGCCGCCAGCTGCTTTGCGGACGTAAGCCTTTGCCCCCCCCCCGGTTAGGCTGATCGCACCGCCCGGGGCTGCAGCTTAAAACAGCACCGGGGGGGGGGCAGATACCCAGCAGGACCAGCCCCGATTACTGCCACCTTCACCACGCGTGTCGGCTGTGCTCCTTCCATAGTGCACAGGCTACACTACAGGTACGCCGTGAAAATGACGATATCCACCCCTTTGCTCAAGAAAACCTTTCTTTTCTTCCTTTCTGTTGTGCAAGTTCTTATGCCTGTGCAGGGGTTGTGGGTTATGCGGTGTGTACACGTTTCTATGTATATATATCTACAAGAGGGGTCTTCCACCTCCCTCACCAAGCCGGAGGACCAGTGCTGGAAGATACGCAG